TTAAAATAAAGTATAAATCATATATACGTACACATATATATACATATGTATATATCATTAGAAAGGTATCGACGATGCGGTCATTATAAGACTAATGTTGAGTTCTTTCGACATTAGTTTAGTGCAAATATCGTTAAATCTATTTAAAAATAGTATTATAAAGGGGTGTTTAGTTGTTTATATAACTATAAGGTCATTAAGTAATTATGGAGGGTGGTTTTTGTAAATTCAATTACTATAAATAAGAGGGTTGGGCTCTCATATTTCTTGCACCATTCTCTTGATTCAAGAGTCTTTCTCTCCTTATCCCCCGAGCATTTCGGTCCCTCGTGATTCGACTTCTCTTTATGTAGTTTTAGTATAGTAAGGTGAGCGCTGAAGCGCTGCACGAATCTTTCTTAGAAAGATTCAGCGACGAAGTTCTGCCCCTGCAGAGCTCGACTCCTAGCTAAAATCCCCTTGAAAGTAAGTTATGCTTACCCTATTTTAAATATAGTTTATATTTAAAATTAGTATTGTTATTATAAATTTATAATAAATATTTGAGCTATTATTATGACTTATATAAGTGTCGTTATAATATCTTTTTAACTACTCGCGGTACGGGGAATCTGGTTTAAAGGGCCGCATAGGGTTGTTGGATTTCAGAAGTGCTATACGCCAAAATGGTCCTGCCCTTCGGTGTTTTATGTCTGGCCCCTGTCTGTACATAGTGGTTGGAAAGTATTGTTTAAACGCTTATATAATAATAATAATAATAATAATAATAATAATAATAATAATAATAATAATAATAATAATAATAATAATAATAATATAATAAGACTAATAATTAGTCACGGTTATATTAGACTAAAATCTAGTGGTGATAATACTAGGTTTCGTCAAAGGAAATTATTTTAAAGTAAACGAAGCGTTGTCCGAGTACCGAGTCACCACCTTCTCAAGTGAATGCATAGTTACTTTTAGCTTACACATAGATATGAAGTATTTTATATAAATTACCTGCTATGTGTGCATATTATCTGAGTACTTGCTATCTATGCTGGATGAACGTTTTATACATGTTTTCAATGATTTAAACTGTATATGTATTTTATATCTACAAAATGTGTTGGGTAAAACATGGGTAGATGTAATAGTTGCTGTGTGACAAAATAAAATAATGAGAGGCCTCGTTATAGATGTTAATGATGATCCAGTCATCTAGAGGAGTATAGATGACGACCACAGACTATTCTAGACAGTCCAGTGGAACACTAGCAGGCTCGCAACCTGTAGGTGTTTATTCGAACTGTGTGTTTATTTGAACTGTGTGCTCACCAGATGTACTCCATCCCCCACATGGTTGCCTTAAGGACATTTATTGATGAGGAATCCCCTTAGCAGTAGTGTCCGTCCCGATGATAATCCTTAGGGTAGGTCCCTTATGGTAGATGCTTAGGGACGTAATGTGAGGATAACGGGAACGGGTAATCGGGTTGTTTAATTTAATAAAGTTAATAAACTTATTTATTGTGGGTTGAAAACCCTATGTGCTCACCAGGCTCCCAAGCCTGACCCACTCAGTTTCTTGTATTACAGGTAGTGGCGCATGAGCATATATGTGATGTCTTGGGATGAGAGATTAATGGATTTTAGGCATGTAAATACGGAATAATGTAGTAAGGCCTATGTTGTATTGTTTATACTTATGTACCGTATCAAACATGACATCTCGAGTCTTTTTAATGAAATACATTTCTACGAAAATGCTTTTGATAAATCTTTATCATAATATTGTTTTGGGACAAATTCCGCAACTCTTTTATTAAAAGATTACTCTGATTTTGAAATAAAGTATAAACAAAACCGGTCTTTTCTAGCCGTGATTTTGGGGATGTCACACTATATGTGTTCAAGCTTTATGAGATCTGCATGTTAGTATTGAGAAGACAGTAGTAGGAGAGCCTGTTTAGGTTATGCCTGATGGTATGAGCTTAACATTGTATGCTAGTAAAGTTCCTCGATATGAGGATAGAATTGCTTGAGTAGTTTCTTGTGTTTGAATGTTGCTTTCTTTGTGCTTTGTGGGATTCTGAGTGATGGGTGTTAGCCATTAGGTGAATATGTCACGTCACATGTGAACAAGGTTGAATAATCTCAGAGTACTGGATTTGGCCCTATTGTGCAGCTCTCGTCTAAGTCTAACCGTTGTAGGGATGAGTCTTTTACTCTAAGGAATATCTGAGCATCGCCACATGTGATGGTATTCAGGTGATGACTAATTGGTATTACAAGGAGGCCTTCAGCAACTGAGGACTGGTTTGGGTTGAGTCAGAGATTTCCCTAGGGCGAGCCTAGGATGAGGGTAGCAGAGATCAGTAGCAGTAGATGGGATTTGGTTGAGTTAAGGTAACTCTTGAGGAGAGTACGGATAGATGTGAAAGGTAGTATGGGACCGTACTACTGAAAGCAGAGGATCCGTACTCGATTCAAGAAGGGCCAAGATGAAACCAGGGAAATTGTAGAGTACCTGAGAGATCCCTCAGCAGCAATGAGTATTCTGATAGTTATTGTGATATGTTTTCAGCATGGTGACGTTGCGCGAGATATCAATTGCTAGTGCAGGTGTCGGGGAGGGATCTGGCTCAGACTCTAGAGTCGGATAAATTGATGATCAGATGAGAGATGTCATTTCCGCAGAGATTATGCGCAACATCATTGATTAGACTCCTGTGATATTCGGTTCGGTTAGGGAGGCCATCGTGGAGCTTGTGGACAGTCGTCTTGAGGCCTTTAGGGCTGGGATAGTTTTAGGAAGGTTTGGGGCTCGTTTAGAGCCTGATTCTTATGGATCCCAGGGATCCATCAGGGAGGGGGGGTCCCATTTTTAGCTCTTCCCATTAGGGGTCGGGAGTAAGTGGGGCACCTTGTCCCCAGGAGTGTCCTCTGCATGATTGGGTCGTTGCGGAGGTTTCACAAGTCATTCATGAGGAGCTACCCGACATCGTTGAGAGGGTCACTGATAGGTTGACCGAGAAGCTCCAAGATCGGACAACGGTTGTTCAGACGATTGATGGGGACGACATGGTAATGCAGGGGCGAGAGATTGACCAGGAGTCAGAAAGGAAGAGGAAACCAGACGAGGTTCAGTGGCCCACAGTTTCGTGTAAAAGAACCAAAGGGCCGAGTTCGAGATCGAGAGACTTCCAGGGCCGCAACCGATGCGGTAAGTGTAGCAGGACACACGGGGATGCATGTAGGAGTAGTAGAGGTGGCGATCCTGGCTGTTTCAAGTGAGGCCAGAATGGTCATTTTAGCAGAGATTGTACTGCTACCATCGCCCAAGGATTTGACCCAATATGTTTCCATTGCAGTTAGAGGGGTCACAAGAAGGCCCACAGTCTGAGTTTGTATACAGCAGGGCAGATGACAGCTCGTGCCCCTGTGACTTCGAGAACCACCAACAGACGTCAGGGTCGGGTACGGGCACTTGATGCGACATAGAACTCCGGCAAGTCTTCTGGTCTTCTGCTGCGGCGAAGATCTGCTAGTCACAATCAGAGAGATGCTTTAGAGCCATCCCAAGGAATGTGCCCCGGGAGCAGACTTCGACAATCAAGTTAGATCAGCTAGAAGATCTGAGATGGTCCTCCATAGCTAGGGAGAACCATCTTGGTGCTGGGGGTGGTGTATGGTGGCTGATAGCGGTGGGTGGCGGTTGAGCCACCCGGCCGGAGTATAGTGTGGCGGCTGAGCCATGGGGTAAGTCTAGGGAAAGGTTCTAAGGAAAAGTCCTCCTTCATAGAGAAGGCATTATTCATTATATAGGAGACAACTAGGTTAAGGGGAATTAGGTCAGGCCTTGGGCCAGCCCAATTCTGGCCCAACTAGCAAGGAGTTGGATGAGGCCGCCCGGAGGCGCCGGGCAGGACTGGCGAGCGCGCCCCAGGCAAGGCTGGCGGGGGAGCATCGGTTCGGGCCGATAGGAGAGTCCCCAACATGGCTGGCAAGGGAGCGCCAGGCTGGCAGGAGCGCGCCAGGCTAGGCTGGCGCTCTAGAGTGGTCTAGGCCATGCTAATGGACCATATATCATCAAGTCCCCACCAGTCTGGTGTTATTGGTACACTTGCAATGACATCGGACTGGACTAAGTCATATAAACCAGCAGGAGAGTCCCCAGCGAGGCTTGAAAGGGAACGCCAGGCAGGGCTGGCAGGAGCGCGCCAGGCTAGGCTGGTGCGCTAGAGCAGTCTGGGCCATGCTAATGGACCATATATCATCAAGTGCCCCCAGTCTGGTGTTATTGGTATGCGGCCAATGACATCGGACTGGACTTATTCAAATAAATTGTGTGTCGTCAAGTCCCCCTAGTCTGATGCGATTAGGTTGCTGACAATCGGATCGGACTAGATAAAGCACCAATACATTAAATAATAGAGAGAATGGCCGAACCTCAGCCACGAGAGCCATGGGGTTGCATGATGAGCCAAGCATTGCTTGTGCAACTTGAGCTGACTTGATATTCTTTCATCGAGAGGAGTGTAAGCTGACCGGTGCGATGTAACTGTTGCTGCTATCATGTAGACCGAGGCTGCTAAAGAGTGTTACGCGACAGTTGTCAGTAAAATGTCGGGCCGCGGTAGCTAAGAAGCGTAACCTCGCCATATAGTCCCTAAGACCGTTATCCGATGCAGTTGTTATCAGTCTATATGGAATGTCGCCGATGACCATCTACACAGTATGCATTAATAACCGTCCTGAAGGTGTCTCTGAAGTACACTATACCTAATTTGATTCCCCCCAGTCTGATATGGGTAGCGTAGGTAGCCGGATCAGACTATGACAAATAAGGCAAGGTTGCGATGTCAATTCGAGATGAAGTGGCAAAACTCTTTATACGAGATGGATGTTGTCAAACCGATAATTCGTAAGTTTGTTGACCATGTAACAAGTGATGGAGGTTCCAAGCGCTGGGAGATTAGGTTGGTAGCGGGAATCACGCGGCGAGACTATTATTAATAGCCAGACAATGGAATCGTTGCGGGATAAGCAGTGAGGCTATAGGTTAAGGTTGCATAGCGAGACCGTTTCCGAGATCCAGGTAACCGAGATGCTGAGGTATAAGCAGTGAGGCTATAGGTAGGGCAAGCGTAGCAAGGAACTATTGAGGGCAATGCAACGAAGATGTTGAGGGGTTGTAGGTAGTCGGGATGTTGTTGTGATAATCTTCTTGCGGAAAGGTAACCTCACTATAACAGGATGCAGTGTGGAGAACGCTTCATCGACCGTCCGAGCACATGAGAACCATGATGACTGTGAGAGAGTAAAAACTAAGGGTGCAATGTAAAGCGTGGGGCAGGATTGTGATGCGTGACTCATGGTATGTAGCGATGCGCAACTTATGTTGTGCAACTTGAAAGAATAGGTTGTGCTTAGCAGTTAGCGATCATAAGGATGTCACGTGGGAGAGCATCACGTAGAATCATATAGGCAAAGGTTGCGTGCCTTTGAGCCTTGTTGGTGGAGCATGTTGTTGATGGAGTCAGGCTGAGAAGCCAAGCAACTCAAGGAAAGGATGTTGAACCTTGCATACAGAGCCCACTGCTATAATGGAGTCGGGATGAGAAGCTAGGCGACTTGAGGCAAGGGTACTGAACCTCGCATGCGGAGCTTGCTGCTATGATGGAGCCGAGCTAAGAAACCAGGCGACTTGAGTTAAGGGTACTGAACCTTGCATGCGGAGCTTGCCGCTATGATGGAGTCGAGCTGAGAAGCCAGACGACTCATGGCGAGGGTGCTGAACCTCACATGCGGAGCTTGCCGCTATGATGGAGTCGTCCTGAGAAGCTAGACGATTCATGATGAGGGTGCTGAACCTCGCATGCAAAGCTTGCCGCTATAATGGAGCCAGGCTGAGAAGCTGGAAACTCAAGGTGAGGGTACTAAACCTAGCATGCGGAGCTTGCCGCTATGATGGAGTCGGGCTGAGAAGACAAACGACTCATGGTGAGGGTGCTGAACCTCGCATGCGGAGCTTGCCGCTATAATGGAGTCGGGATGAGAAGTCAGGCAACTCGAGGCGAGGGTACCGAACCTCGAATATGGATCTTACCGCTATCATGGATCCGGGCTAAGAAGTCAGGCAACTCGAGGCGAGGGTACTGAACCTCGCATGCGGAGCTTGCCGCTATGATGGAGTCAGGCTGAGAAGCCAGACGACTCAATGCGAGGGTGCTGAACCTCGCATGCGGAGCTTGCCGCTATAATGGAGTCGGGCTGAGAAGCTAGGAAGCTCGAGGCGAGGGTACTGAACCTTGCATGCGGAGCTTACCACTAGATTCGAGCTGAGAATCTAGGCGACTCGTGGCGAGGGTACTGAACCTCGCATGCAGAGCTTGCTGTTGTAATGAAGTCGGACTGAGAAGCCAAGAAACTCAAGGCAAGGTGTTGAACCTTGAAGGCCTGGGCATAGCATCCTACAATCTATGTATCTGGCCCAGGTGATCAGCTCGTGTTGAAGTGTAATGGCGCTTGATGCTTTGCTGCATCACTAGTTTGGTGATTGGTGCCTTGTTGTCTTGGCTGTCTTCCAAGCGCCATGCGGTGATGTTACTTAGAGCTGGATAGTGTAGCTGCTATCAAGTGATGCATAGCGAGACTGCCATCCAGATCTGGTCAACAGGGTCATTGAGAACTGAGCATCGAGCTGCTGGCGATAGATGAGAAGCACGGCCACTGAGAGCTGGGTAATGAGGCTACCTAGGGTTGAATCACGAGGTTGCTCTTTCGGTCCGGAATATTAATGTCACCCTGGGATAGCATTATCATGTATAGTGTCAGCTCTTCATGTACTTTAACTTTGCCCCTTTAGAATAAAAATCATTTTTGCATAGTGTCGTACCAACCCTCCCCCCTTTGTTTTCTTAGAGGAGGAGAAGGAATGGATAGATAGATGTATAGCTGCTGAAAGCTAAGGTACATAGCTGCTGGAAAGAGCTAGGCGATGCAAGTGCTGACAAGAGCTGGGTAGTGCGACTGCCGAGAGCTAGATAGCACGACTACAAGATGTTGGCCAACACGACTGATGAGGGCTAAGTAGCGAGATACGGCTGCCGATAGTTGGGCGGTGGTTTCATAGGGTTATTCCGAAAATGCTTCACGATTAGTAGTGGTGCACAACTATTCCCCCTCCCTTTTATTCTTTTTGTTTGAAAACATTGAGATGGTCAGACCACATCTTATAGAATCAGATTTAGCTTGACTGGATTGGAGCGCATGAGCTTTGATTTTTTTGGAAATGCCGAATGTTCCGGGCCGCCATGCATATTTTTAATTATGTTTAGCGGAATTGTTGCGCACAGACTTTATATTGCTGATCCTCGTCTCACATAATTATCCCGTTAAGTTATGGAGGTAACCCAAAATAAAAGCAAATGTAAAAGGAGTCCTTATTAAATGTTGTAACCCAATTTCAAACTTTAACCCCAACAATGTATTCAAAAGACATAGTGGGCTAGCGATCGATTATTCTTGAGTTCCGATGGTCTGAGATTGCCGGTGATGGTCTGATTCTGATTGATGGCTGCCGACTGGTGGCGTTTTGGGTCCGGTTTCTGTTGGTTATAGCTGGGGGAAAATGGTTTCTCATAGGTGATTCATTGGGTGGTGGTCATCCTTCAAGTCCCACGATGTCTGGGAGAGAACTTGGCTAACAGGAGGTGACATTGGTGATGATCTAAGACCCATGGGTTGGAGATAGTTTGATGGTGATGGCGGAGATGCTTCGTGCAGGTTCGAATCACATATAACCGGAGATGATTGTGATGGTGCCATGGGTCAGGTTGGCAAAGACTTTGTTGATTCTTCAATGAGATCGAAGGTTCACAGGTGAGTGTTGATGACAGCGAGAGGAGTGGTCTCGGTGGTGGTTGCCGATTAGCGATCAGAAGCTTGCAATCATCGGGAACATTTGCAGTGGTGTTGGGTTGCTCCGATAGGCGAATCAAGCGGTGATGCATTTCTTTATTTATGGAAAACAAACAAGGAATAAGGACCCGACATATGCTGCTTGGGCGGGACCGAATAACCTTCAGCACCTGTGTTGAAGGTAGAAGTTTTCCGGTTGCTAGTTTTGTTTCCGACAGTCGACAGGTGGTCGACGGTAGTGGTGTTTGGTGACCAGGTGGACCCACCTTCTGACTTTTCTGCCAGCTCCTTTGACTGCATGGGGCCCATACACCTCTGAAGAATAGCATCACGTGGAGGCTAGTTGTGGTTTTTGGCTTTGCATTAAGAATTGGCCAAGGTGGTCCCACTAAAGGGTCTCGGTAGACCTGGTGGGCCCTGACCTTAGGCGTTGTCTTTTCTGTTTATTTGTAAAAAACTTTTGCATTTGTGGGACCACTAAAAGTGAATGCAATAAGTGTAGGTGGTATAGCTGGTGACCACCCTATCCTCCCCCCTTTTTTGTCGTCTTGGGAGAGACAAAGAGTACGAAGACCATTTTGTAATATATCTTTTGTACAACTTGTTGTATATGTGAATTGCAAGATGGTTTTTCTTCCTTCTTTTTTTTATTACATCCCATGTACTTTTTCTTTTTTACCATACATATTTTTTACGGACATGGTAAATTGTAAGTGATGTGGTATGGTAAGTTTTGAAGTAAAATTTGTTTCTGGTGGGTTTTGAAATGTATCATAATGATATGTACAACTTACAGAGATTTCACATGTGTGGAAATGAAATGATTCCTCCATAATTGATGAGCTCGAAAATGAGAAAAACTCTTAAGAGTTTTCCATAAAATGTGTACTGAGAGTGGGATAGAAACCCATCATAATTACTCCTCTCTCTCTCTCTCTCTGTGTCTGTCTTTTTTCTTTTTAAAAAAGGTTTTGTATAAGGTACAAGCCACAAAGCTATGTATACAAATAACTATTGCAGCAGTAAAAATATGCACGAAAATAGGGAATGATTTTTTGAGAATGTGAACAAAAGATGAAGTAAAACTCATTAAAAACTTCATTTCTTCTAAATTTGCTGAGAATACCCCATATCATAAATAAAAAACGGATCTGCTATGGAGTGTTGTTCATGAAACTTCATTTTCTTTTCAGCTTGCTCAGCAAGCTATGAAGATATGAGCAAGAAACGATAGATCTGGAAAAATTCTCATTTTCTATCTCTAGGTTTTTAGAGAGAACACTAAATAGATAGCTTCAAAAGAGCTTTGCAAAGGAAATCATAAACTGAATGTGATTTCTTTGTAACATAAACTGAAAATAAGGTAAAAAATCACGAAAAATTTCTTCTCTTCTCAAGTTGCTGGAGCAAAACACCAAAACATGAACAAAGATAGAGAAATGGTCGAAAAAACCTCTTCTCTCCTCGAAAATACAAGTAAAAACAAGTTTGAATTGTTTTTTTTTTAAACTTGAAAGATGATTAAGTGAACAAAAGCCTTCAAATATAGGGATCTGAGCTAAAAATGAAGTAAATTTACAGATCTAAAGAAAAAGTCATCAGATCCAAAGATTTGAAGCATACTATTCAGATCTAGATAGATCTTTTCCAAAATCCAAATGAATTTGAACTAAGGAATGTAGAAATGGACAGATCTGAGCAAACCTTAGATGAAGATACATCAGATCTGAACAAATCTTAGAAAAAACTAAAGCATCTGGACAGATCTTGGCAAGAACCAAGCGGATCTGAACCAAATGATGCTAAACATTCTAGTCACATGTGAACTGAAGCACAACAGATCTGAACAGATCTAGGCAATAACGAGATGATGGCTGCTCGTTCAAGTCTGGGATGGCGCCAAATGATGCGACATGGACCTCTGGCGAGTCTTCTGGTCTTATACTGTGGCGGAGATCTGCTAGTCACAACCAGAGAGATGCGTTAGAGCCGTCCCAGGGACTATGCCCCGGGAGCGGACTCCGACGATCAAGTTAGATCAGCCAGAAGATCTAAGATGGTCCTCCATAGCTAGGGAGAACCATCTTGGTTCTGGTGGTGGTGTATGGTGGCTAACGGCGGCAGGTGGCGGCTGAGCCACCCACCCGGAGTATAGTGTGACAGCTGAGCCATGGGGGAAGTCTAGGGAAAGGTTCTAGGGAAAAGTCCTCCTTCATGGAGGAGGCACCAGCAGACATCAGGGTCAGACAAGGGCGCCCACAGCTCGGAGCAAAGCATTCCAGTTGATTTCAGCAAGGATTCGAGCGGCACTGGATGTTGGAGGTACGTATCTTTTACCTTCCTGTCAATTATTATGTGTGATGTTGTTATTATGTTACTGCATCGATTTAGTAGGTACATATATTGGAATACTATATTACCTATTTGGGAGTGAGTCATATGCCATATGCATACCTTGGATTCTAGAACGATATTTGAGGATGTCCCCCGTAGAGCAGGTTACTTCGGATGCAGTAATTGTAGCAAGTATGAGTGAGACTCGGTGGTGTCTCGCTATTTTTGGGAAGGTGTTATTTGTGTATAGATCGGTTATATTCTCAGCAGTGGTAAGCTTGAGTTCCCGGTGGAGTAACCATAGGACGATATGATAGTAGTTCGAAGATGTTCCCCTTGAAGCGCAGGTACTCAGGATGCAGTCACTGAAGCAGGAACAATCGTGTACTGAAAGGTGGTCGATTTGTTGACAAGATTGGTTTAGGTCTGATGAAGGGTTAGTTGAAGCGCCAACAGAGATAAACGTTGGTTGTCAGCGGATCAACCCTTTAGATGATAAGAAGGATAGGGAATCCTTTTCGAGATGTGAGCTATAAGAATTAGCCGGATCAAAGTGGGGGAGAACCCTTCATGTATGCAAGGTAGTAGTATGCTAAACTTAGAAAGGGTAGGTAATCTTGTGTACGAAGGGGAAAGCAGCCCGAAGGGTCTAGTAGGTTCAGGAGTTTAGGAGTTGGGAGTTTGGAAAACATCCCAACGTCGGTTTAATGTATTAAGGATTAGTAAACGATTGGTTGGGAACTCAAGCTGAAGAATTTCTCGATGGAATGCGAGTGTAGCAAGGTTGTAAGACGACAAGGCAGTTGTAGCATTTGATGACTGAGGGCTGGTTTTGTAAATCCGATGGGAGGATCGCTAGCA